GCAAGTGCTTTCAAAATCTAGCTAAACTCAGGGTCTTTTGGCTGAAGAAAACAGAGCTTTGTTACTAAGCTGGTGGGCTTTGAGGAAAATGATTTATGGTTTCAGGTAGAGTCAGCGCTCTGTTCAAGAAGAAAGACAGCCATCGGAACAGCAACCTCAGAGCTCTTGGTAAGGGCGGGATAATTGGAGAGGCTAATTTGGGCACGCGAAGACTGTTCCCGGAGAATGCAGCCGGCACTAGCACTCAGCGGTGCTATTGTACGTGACAAACAGTGTCTGAAGACCAGAGCACAGTGTGAATTCTGATGAGAGAGGGATCGATATCTCCTTGAATGAGGAGATGAAAAATAAAATGCTCATAGAGCAGCACTGGTCAGCTTAATAGTTCACAACCTTTGAAATAAAAGCTGTTTCTCAGGAATTAGTCTCCAGTCGTCTTTGAGAAGCAAAAGGTGGAAATGTGGTTCTCATTCATTTCAACTCTTACGTAATCATTCATTTGCATCTTCACTGAAAAAAGGTCTCTGAAGTCCCTGTATTGAATTTGTCTTAGTAATAAAATACTTAAATTCTGCAAAAATGCATTAATTTGATTTTTCATTTATTTCATTTATTATGTTACAAAGAAGTCTATATTTCAACTAAATGCTGTTGTTTTGAACTTTCTATTCATCAAAGAACCTGAAAAAAATAATCATGGCTTCCACAAAAATATTAAGAAGCACAACTGCTGTCAACACTCGTAATAATTAGAAATGTTTCTTGCGTAATAAATTAGGATATTAGAATGATTTCTGAAAGATCATGTGAAACTGAATACTGAAGTAATGACAGCTTTGCCATCACAGGAAAAATTTCATTTTAAAACATATTAAAATAGAGTTCATATTAAAATAGAAAACAATTATTTTAAGTAGTAATATTTCAGTATATTACTGTATTTTGATCAAATAAATGCAGCCTTGGTGCACATAAAATGTTTGTTTTTTAATGGTAGTGTATATATACACATTTTTCATCAAGACATCTTTTGCCATTTCAGTGCATAAAGAGATACATACTGAATACCAACGAAGGACCGAAAAATAAAGATTTTTCTTTATCCACTAAATATAAGTTACTATCAGGATACAAAGGTGAACCAGCAAGACATTTAGGCATCACAAGAGGTCTAAAAACAAAGTCGAAGTCGAGGAAATCCTGCTGTCCATATGACCTGCCTCTGCTTAGACCGCTCGAACCCAAGAGAATACGACTAATACCGTAAGAACCCATTGGCCTGTGTAAACGTCCCATGAGTGAGCAGTACACCGCCTGGCTAATGCATTTGTAAAGCAAACTGCAGAAACCCTGAAGTGTGGCACTGCGGCTCTTACTCGCAGTAAGAATGCATTTCAAAAGCCTGATTGATGTTTAATGATTGAACGCCTTGCAGTCAGGCAGAAACACAGTCAGAGGAAGGAGCTAGCCTGCTAGGACAAAGGACTTAACAAATCATCTTTGAAAGGTCCATCTATTCAAAGTGTGCTGAGAGCAGCAGAACCATGTACTACACCAGCAAGGACTTTCAAACACTTATTGATGTTTTGGAGGCAATTTAAACTAAATTTGCAATTACTAGCAGGTTGAACATTACATCGTTATAAAAGAATAATGTATTGATTAACTCGCTATATCTTGTATGTGTGCTATGTTTATTAAAGGCATTGTCACCTTGGTGATGTGTAAATTATTTTTTAATTCAAGCAAAAATGATTGACCTACACACATGCTGCTAAGCTAAAAGACATCTAGCCATTCCGTAAAGTAAAAAAATGTTGGATGGGAAAAACAAGTGTGAAGGTCCCTAGAAACCGGGAGATTACAATGAGAGTCAGGCAGGTTAGTCTCCAGCCTTTCACAAGGAAAAAAAAATCATTTCAAGGAGAAAAAAAAAATGAAATAAAAAGAAAAGAGTTTTATGATAGCACTGTCAGAACAGATGATTACATGAGAAAAAAGCGGCATGAATCTGGCGATAACCCTTCAAATTCTATTAAAAAAGCTCTGCTCAAAAAAGAACTCAAAATTGAGAGGGATGAAATGTGTGATGATGTCCGTGAGTGAAAATTTTCTGTTAAGAGGAAAAGACAAGAACCTGTCCAACTAATTTATCTCTGCATACCTGTTCATTTTGAACTGAAAGGAAAAGTCATCTCTCAAGACGTCTGGTTTCCTCATTGATCCATATTATTTATTTACACCTACATGTCTATTTCCTGAATGATTGCAGAACAGTGAAAACTGCAAAGCACCAATTACACACAATAATTAAAGCATCACAGGATACGATTGATCAAATACTGACGTGAAAAGTCTTAAGCATAAACATCTGCTACATTATAACGGCAGCAATTGTACATGTCCTGAGAAGTCTTGCATTGCCAGACTTCTGACTGAACATCTACAATGATCCACAATGCAGCTTATTCTGGACAAGAAACGCCCGCTTTGACAGGAAGAGATCGGCTGAGTCTGACTGATCATTTTTTTTATGCTGCCTAGTTATGTTGCCTGAATTATATTACGGATGGACGGATGGAATAATTTTTTAAACACCATAGAGGCTATTTACATGGCAAACAAGGTCAATATCACAATGCATAAAACATTTAAACTTGACATAAGACTTGGGTGATACATTCTGAAATATTCCATGTAAACATGTTTCTGAATAAAAGCTAGCAGTATCATTAAAATTACAGCCCAACAGAATATGTTCGGATGGATGAATGGACGAACAGGCGGACAGATGGAAAATTGTAGAAAAGATAGGCTTTTATGAATATAAACCAAAAGATTATGTCACAGACATAACTCAGAAAACAAAACAGAATATACAATTCTGCTTGTGGATATCAAGTTGAAGTGTAGCCCCCATAATGAGCTGAAGGACAGAGCAGAAAGAGCTTCCATATATGACAGTCTGACTCTTGATAAACCCATAATATTGAGTTACACACATAAACCAGCAATTTGTTACTCAAGCATGCTTCATTATTGGTCTCACTCACAACTGCTAACGGTTTTGTGTGTATTATACTCTGTATTGCAATTGGTAGGGATTGAATTAGAATGGATTGTTTCCCTGGGCTGCTGGGATCCATATATGTGTTTGTTTCAGCAACAGCTGGTCTGTTCAAAATATAGATATGGTCTAAAGTCAGTAAAAATATGAAAGAGAGTGTCCTACTGCTGTGATCAGGCTTTCAAAGGGCGAACGCTGAAATGAGACCAGCACCAACAAATCATGGGAAAACATTCCTACACACAAAATGCCTCGAGCCGCCTCCTCCTCCTTGCATTGTTTAGGTTTACCCATCGTTCCCATTGACGATTTCCCAATTCTCTCTCTCTCTCTCATACACACACCTTCCTTCCAGCCGTGAATTACAGCACATCTCACCCTCATCCCAAAAATGATTCATTTTTCTATTACAGAGATGACTGTGTGAAATGAGCTATGTAATCAATACCATACGTTTGTAAACAGCTCCAGTTCCCCAGGGAACCTCTTTTTTTTATTATTTTTTTTACCTCATGCTCAAATAATCTGTGTCCTGTCAGAACCAATGGAGGGGCCCCTCGTCTTACAATGTGTTTACAAGGGCAATTTAGCTGCCTGCAAATAAAATTACCTTACACTGGTGTGTGTACACTCTGGTATTCCTTTTGGATTAGCAAAGAATGGAAAGAAGACGTAAAGTTTATCATTAAAGGCATTCCCACACTATTCTATGTGCTTGTGCGACTCTTTGAAGTCATTTTGTGTGTATTGAGAGTTTGATGATGTTTGGATGTGAATGAGATAGATAAGTGGAATAAGGTCCAAACATGAACTCCTAGAATTAAATAATTTTTAATTATTTTAATATATTGACACTTCTAGTTGATTGATAGATATGGATAGATGGATAGATGGATTGTGGGTCTTGGAATCAAAAAGGTTTAGAACCACTGATTTAGGGAACAATGAAGTTGGAACTGCATAATTGTATTGGAAAACGGGAACACAATTCTTTGAAATATTTCCGGACATCCCTTAATGTTTTACTTAACCTTATCGTCCATACTGTAGTGAAATGATGTTCGTACCTGTTTGGTTACTCTGAGAAGAATGACTTTAGAGGCTGCTATATTTTTAATGCAGTGTTAAATAAAGCAAATACAAAAAACACACACACACACACACACACACACACACTGCTCTCGATGCCAGGTTGAGAAACAGTGCCGAGCTAAATTTACATGAAATGACTTCCTGTGAGGCAGCATTATTTAAAAAGCAGAGGTCTATCCTGAAAGGCGAATTACTCTAAGGCTTTGTTCAGACAGGCAGCAAAAATGTGATTTTTTTTATTTATTTTTTCATAGCTGACTTAAATCTGTTTAGTTGTTTGTACACTGAACAGCAAAAAGCAAACAAAAAAAACAATAAGACATTTTCTTCCTTTAGCTCAAGTAGTAGAGCATGGTGCTAGCAAATAAAAGTAATTAAAAAGCATCTTCCAAACGCTTACATGTAAACGGAATCCAGTCAGATCGAGTTTCCAAATACTTTTTTACATGCAGGACACAGTGTCATGTGATTATAATGTCATATGCACAGTAGTTTCTCATTTATATGTGGCAGTCACTGTGTAATGAACGGTAAATGAGTGAGTAGTGTCAAACATAGCATTTGGATGAATGTTTAAATGCAATTACGCCTCTGACACTTCTGCTGTCTGTCTTTCCTCAATGACAGTTGCACTCTTATGTCTCTTGGCACTTAAGTCATCACTACAGCAACCAATGTTGATGGACTGGATATTGACTACACTGTCTGAACAAACATATCAGATTTCATCACTTCACTCCTAAAGTTTTGGAAATCAGATTTATGTGCAGTGTGAACAAAGCATAAGTGCTTAGCTGTTTAGAACATAGTCATGCAGTTTTGTGTTTGATGATTTACTCACATATATCTGAGTTTGTAGTCTTTCATCCTCAGCGGTGAATCTTTCTCTCAGTATGGCCTTCTGGATGCTCTCCTCTGCACTGGCTTTCTCTAATGCAAGGATTCTGCTCACCTCATCCTTTACCAGGGCTTGAGCTTCTGCTTGGGCCTGTGCATGAGCCCGGGACCTTTCCTTCTCCAGCCTAAACGTAATGCAGCACAGAACACCGAAAACATCAGATGCATCTTCTGGTCTACATCACTGCAATTCAAATAGCTTTTATTTCAAATTAAACAGCCTGTTTTATAACATATGAAGAGTTTGGTTCCAAAACGCAATAAATCCATTTAGATTAATTTGAGTAAAAATGTGTTTTCTTTACCAAGAAAGTGGAAAGATGAAAACCACTATTTTCTGTTTCAAACTTCCACATAGCATTTGTAGGTCATAATAACACAAATTAAAATCCAAGTTTTGATTTTCAAAGATTTATTATAAAAACGGATTTTTTTTTCCCCCAAAATGCAATAAATCCATTTTTTTTTTAAATTCAAAATGCAATTAATCCATTGAATCAATATAAAAGGTTTTTTTTTTTTCGTATTGAAACTGTTGAAAATACACAACAACGTAAGTTTATTAGTATAATATTTTTAGTAAGTTTTCACAGACAAAAACATATTACAGCATCAATTTTATATCACTTGTTTAGGCCTATAAGATTTTTTAAAAGATTTTTATTCAACCCATAGCCCTGTTGAGCAAGGTCACCACAAGCTATTGATAGGTAAAGGAATAGCTATCAATAGCTCACAGTGACCTTGCTCAACAGGGCTATGGGTTGAATAATGCCAGAGTTATGCTTCAAGTTTTAAACAATGAATTAAAATCACATTCATTTTATACACTGAATTTGTTGTCTTGTGCATACTATAAATCCATTGCATTATTATAAAATATGTGTAAAACTGTTCAAAATAGACCTGTAAAGAAGATTGAAAACATTTTTCCTCCTCTCGAGTGCCTCATCTTCTTAATCTCCTCACGTAAATGATTCGATTTCGATGCCTTACGTTTCTTACCCACCGCAGAAACAACCACAGGTTCATCAATGCCGTCAAAATTGTTCATTTTTTTGTTTGTTTGTTGATCGAAAAGTACAAAATAGATAAGAAAAACTAGGAAGCCGGGCGTATTTAAGGCGCTGCCGTTACTGTTTACATTGCGTGGAATGGTGCGTTGTGATTGGTTGAGCGGATATATCGCATTCTGCAGAGAAGGGAGACTGGCGTTTGTCGCGGTTTGGAAAGAAAGGGAGAAAACATGACAGAATAACACGGCGGATATCGCATTTTACTTAAAATTAAACATTGACTTTTCAATACCAACCAGATACAATACTGATTATTGCAGTAACTAATTTTTTTTTTTTAAATGGCGTTTATCGCATTTTGGAACCAAACTCTTCATATACTACATACTAGGAATATCAATAGTACTGGTACCTCAATACAAAGTCAAAATTATTAGATTTTTTTTTATTGGCTGATTGACTGATTGATTGATTGACTGATTGGACTGATTGATTGACTGGACTGGTTGACTGATTGATTGACTGACTGGTTGTTTGTTTGATTGACTGGTTGTTGGTTGACTGGCTGTTTGGTTGGCTGGTTGGACTGACTGGTTGATTGATTGCAAAACTAATATTCCTGAAACCAAATAGGTGGCTGCTATACTACAATACAAATAAACAAAAATAAGTAAAAATATTGGATCATTAAGCTTGTAGTGTAAACGCTGCCTAATAGGCCTGCCACTGTCTATTCTGTTGCTGATAATAAATTACACAACAATATTGACAACAAAAAAGGAAAAGCACTCAATGTTCTTGGCTGGATAATTTTAAGAGCTTTAATAAGCCTTCTACAATCAAAAATGAACAACATTAGCCCTGAAAAAGAAAAACCGTACAGCTAATTTTAATTACAGGCCTGCATCTCAGTCAAACTCAGACAGCACTGAATAACTATTAATGCATTATATATAATAATCATGCACTGAAGACTATGCCAGTAATTTAATTAAGAAAAAATTGAAGGCTGCATGCCATTGTTTCACTTTAATTAGTTAATATTCATATTAATATGTAATTTTTTTTAAATAAATTAGTGAGTTCAATTTGCGCATTGGTATGATTAATTTCTCTAGATTAAACTTTTTTTATTGTGAAACATATTACTAACAAGTTCTTAAAAATCTCAATATGATTAAAAAAAGTTAAGCACACAAAACTGCTTTTATTCACAGCTTGGGATGAATATGGTAAAAAAGACCAGCCTCAAGGAAGAAAAGCGCTCCCTTAAATCAAGTGAGATTTTAAATATGGTGCCTCATTTGAAGTTGTTTAATAGGTGTGTGGCTGTAAAGAATCTTTGATGTTTTCGAGATAATCCTGCGGAGCTATTTGGAATTTTGAGCAAGAATGTTGAGAGACTTTATGAGCTGTCATCCGGTTCTCACAGTTGCCTAGCAACCTCAGCTGCACCATCAAGCAGGAGGTTTGATTTGTAAAGTAAACTCAGGCAAGATACAAACTGTAATCTGCGATGCTGTGTTTTCAATCAAACAGCAGCCATGTAAAAAAAGAAGAAGAAAGAAACCGAAGCGAAAAGGGCAATAAGGGAGTGTATAATTATAAATGTTACCGAAACGAACACAAACAAGCATGTGAGATTTCCAAAGATGTGCTCAAAGTTCCACAAAAGTTTGAAAAATACGAAGAAACCAAGATACTGGGGAAGCACAAAGGGTTAGTCTTCAACAACAACAACAAAAAGAAGCAATTCCACAAAAAACAAATTAAACAAATGAAGTATGTTTTAAATTATTTTTCAAGTAATGGTCATTGAAGGTGGTGGGAGTGCTTAACCTTCTCAAAATATTGATGGTCAATCTCAAGAGATGCAACTAAATATTATACAGGTATATGTTCCTTTTCATTTTGTATAAGCCATGTCATTTTTTAAAACGATTCCACAAAAATAAAAATATTTCAGAAAATTTGAATATTTACTCATTATGTTGCCAGGTTGTAAGGGTCTTCAGACCATTGAGAGTACTATATTCATGGAATGTGCCAGAGGGCAACATAAAACTATGATTTATGATTAACATCTACTAGTTTTGCATGCACCATTTTACTTACAACCAAACAAGAATAAATAAAGACAAAAATAAAAATAAATATTTGGTGTCGTCCTGTTGTGTGAATACACACATCATTGAGCATTTTGTTCTCCTGAGAAAAGTGTGAGCGACTCCAGCCATGTCCAGTCTCAGTCTACTGAACTGAACACATATCAGCACAACACATCCATCATTACTTCCCTCTCTGGTATTGTGTGTGTTTATCCCATCTTCCAGTACTAAAAATAGGCCAAAAGCGTCAAGTGAGCACAATGGTGTCGCTTGCAGGGCAAAAACACAGGCCACTCAAATACAATTATGTTCATCTCAAAAAAGAAAAAAAAAATTATAGGCTGCAATTACGATACCTATGTGCACAAAACCGCACTGCAAAACAACACCACTATTTCCTTCCTTATCCATGATTAATGCAGGTAGTTGAGGACCTGTAAAGCCATACTATAGCAATACTAAATCTTAGAAATAGGCAGATAAATATTTAATGACAGGAAGAGAACACCACATTGATGAAGATGCGTTCATCAGAGCTAAAATAAATGAGCTGTACCACCCTTTGATTGGAAAGACTTGAAGAAACCACTTTCAAGCTTCCAAATATCCTGAGCAACTTCCAATGAAAAGGCCCATTGAGAGAGACCGTGACCTTAAAATCAAATAACGGCAAACCAAAAAGTTTCTAAATAATTCAAGCTATATTTCAGGAACCTATCTCACTCTCTCCATTGCTATAAATAAACTATGCTTTGATAATGTCAGCCAGACAGTACCTGAACTATTCGGCTATTCTTCAGAGTTCTATGGTTGTTTGATGTTACACGGTATCCATGCACAAACCCCTCGATTCAAAGCTTAAAACGCTGTACAGAAATGCCGTTTGCTTAGAGACTTGTTCTGTACGTTTAAGGGTTCGCTATAATTTACCATCCTTTAAAAACGCACACCTCTGTACACCTGCAGGAGGTGATCTCATTCCCCTCCGCCATCACTCCATCTGTCGGCTCTCTCCTGCAATTTAAATCGTGTATTCGGGACAAAACGGATTCTGACACGCCCGTACTAAAGTTATAGAATGTTTCCCTCTTCGATAGCATTTAAAGGAGCCATGCATTATTAATGAGGCAAAATAATGTGCAAGAATGTAGGGTTTGAATATTTCATGACCCCCCCACCGCCCACCACCGCACCACCCCACAGTCATGTGGCTGTTCCTTTACAGCTCTCACTTGGGGGGGATTTCTTCCCCTAGGAAAACTCTTAGAGACTGATGCTGTAATTGTCAAATAATGAATAAACGCAAAGCTGTGCGTCTGTTGCTTTAATTACATAATTTGTCTTGGGCAGTAGTGGAGCTTTGGCTGTGCACTCTGATGGATTCAGTGCAGGAACTTTTTTTTGGAGATTACAATTTTTGTTAGATCATTTTTAACATATGAAAAGCCAATCCTCATCCTGAAGTTGGAATAGAAAAGAGACGAATAAATAAAGCAAATGGTGATTAAGTCACACAGTGACATGGATGAAATGAAAACAAACACACAGGCACCCATGCCTCTGGGGAGAGGGAACATACGCCTGCATTTCAGCTGTGAAATGATAGAGTGTGTGCGAGAGCTGCAGGGTGGACTGTGACAATGAGTGAATTTAACATGTGGTTCTGTATCCTCATGCATGCACTAATGCATTTATTAATATGCATATTGAAGAGATAGTTCAGGCAAAAATGAAGCTCACATTCATGTTAGGACTTCTTTCTTCTGCAATATACTTGCCACTTCTTTATTATAATGTGAGTGAGTGAGGCTAGAAAGCTCCACAATAACTAAAAAGCACTATAAAAGTAGTCCATATGTAATTATATTTCAAGTCATCTGAAGTCACTACGATAGCTTTACATGAGGAACACACTGAAATTCCCTAATAAAATCTTCACTGATAACCTTGACATTTGCACTTGCCGTCTTTCTGGTGTTTATGAGATAAGTAGTGATGCAT